TGCTGGTTTAAAAGTTCTTGTTGCACATCCTAGCATCAGGATGGGTTCACAGGTCTTCCGGGCTCTTCGATCCCTGCAATGCTGCCTCTGGGATGAAGTGCTGAGCTGAGAACAAAATGGCATCGACCACATGGCCTCTTTATACCTCCTTCCTGGCCTCTTCTTGTATGCAGCCGGTCACCTGGCCCTCAGCCTCTCTCTGCTGGCCGCTCTTAGGTGTCCGCCCTCATGCTTTAGGTGTGTCCTTGGCCCATCGCGTGCCATTGTCCCACAGGGCTTCACTACTCAGCCTGTCCATAGCAATGCTTAACCACATTCAGAGAAATATTCATCTTTCACACAGATTACAGATTCCTACCTACACACACAGACATTATGCACTCACATAAATAGCGTACACAGGATCAGCAAACCATAAGCTCCCATTCAATACCCCACATGGCCCCCTTTTATATCCTTGTTGGTGCCAGCAGCTCCACCTATTGGTGCAGCCATGATCTGGCTGCTTCCCTCAAATTCCCGTAACGTGACACTTGGCCAAAGCTGCAAGAGGCTCTCAGCAGAAATGTGTGGCTTGGACAGAGCTTCATTAATCAATCTCCCTTTCTCTGACCTGGATCCTGGCTCCCCTCCAAGGTGCAGCTCAACATACACTCTCCCTGCATCCCCTGGAAGTGAAACAAACCATCTCTCTCTCTCTCTCCCTCTCTCTCTCTATCTCTCTCTCTCTCTCTCTCTCTCTTCTTCTTCTTCTCTCTTCCCCAAAGCATCATGGGATTGGTAGTTTCCAAAGCTAGAGGAAGGCCGTCACGGTCTTCCCAAATGAAACTCTCCTCACTAAGTTGGCTCCCTGATGCAAGATGCTTACAGAAATACACCATCCCAAATCAGGAGCCAGAAGGCTTCTCAAATTTAGGGTAACAAGACCTAAAATGTCGGGACATGTGTAAAAATGGCATTAATAGCAATGGCCTATGCATGACCTCTTTGTTCAGCCTTGAAGGCCCTCTTCTCTGGTAGCATCAACTTGTGCTGGGCCCTCTTCTCATAGCTGCACCTTGCTCTCCCCAGCTGCTCATTGTACATAACTGTCATATTAATGGCGGCACAGGCGACATCCATCCCCCTACTCAGTCTTCTCAGCTCTCCCCTATAGCCCAGGCCTGTGTCCTCATTGGCACAGAGAGGGGTTTTTTTATAGTCTGAGCCAGCAGCAGCGACTCTGCCCCAACATTGCTGCTCTGTCTCCAACCCAGCTCTGGCCCTTCTGGCTTCCTGATGGTTTTCTGACTTCCACCAAGATCTACTTTCTGGGTTACTTCTCTGTCTCTTGCATTTCTGGCAGGTTTGCCAGATTACTGCCAAATTGATAGCCCCAAATCAAAGATAAAACCTAATCCTGGAATAGTCCAAACTTTTTCTTGCAACCAATGTGTTCTCTTGTTACATTTATCTATAAATCAAGTAACAGATGAAAGTTTTTGTCAGACACCTAGTACAGAGCTCCTTAAAAAAAGCTGCAAGCACCAACAGGCTTTTCCCCACATGCACAGCAATGCTATGAGATGAAAATCAAATTCAAAATCAAAATCTCCTTACAGGTGCATATATAGCCACTGAGGTGTTTCAAACTAAAAATGGCAAACGATGCTGATAACAATTGCACAAAGGCAGCTGAAACCCTCAGTCATTGTAGTCTGTAAGGGTATGTCTACACTGCCACCCTAGTTTGAACTAGGGTGGCTAATGTAGGCATTCGAAGTTGCAAATGAAGCTCGGGATTTAAATATCCCAGGCTTCATTTGCATCTTCCCGAGTGCCGCCATTTTTAAACCCCCGTTAGTGCGGACTCCGTGCCAGCGGCTACACGCAGCACGGAGTAGCTAGTTCGAATTAGGCTCTCTAATTCGAACTACTGGTATACCTCGTTCCACGAGGAGTAACGGTAGTTCAAATTAGAGAGCCTAATTTGAACTACCTACTCCGTGCCGCGTGTAGCCGCGGGCACGGAGTCCGCACTAACGGGGATTTAAAAATGGTGGGAAGATGCAAATGAAGCCCAGGATATTTAAATCTGGGGCTTCTTTTGCAACTTCGAATACCTACATTAGCCACCCTAGTTCGAACTAGGGTGGCAGTGTAGACATACCCAGACAAGGAAAATGTTTTCTACAAGTTCCTTTTCCATCTTGTCGCAGAGACTTGTTGTCCTCAACTGAATCTAAGAAAGCCGTCTTTCAATTGTAGCAGCAGCAAGTAGTAACGGCAATGAAAGAGAAAGCCAAGTTCACAAAAGACTTTGCCCCAGGTTTCATCCATGAATTCGAGACCATCAACCCAAATCTGCTCTGTTTGGTTGTTTTCAGCATGAGGCCAATGAGCCATGGTTGAAAATCTCCAGAGCTGCTCCAAGGGCTGCCTACACAGCGCCAAATTTTAAAATAGCCTGCCCTTCTGAAACGTCCCTTACTCCGCATGGAATGAGGTTTCCAGGGACATCAGAATAGAGACCCTGGTATATTTTGAAATAAGGGCCTTGCTGTGAAGATACAGGATAGCTATTTCAAGATATCCCGGTATCCTGAAATAGCGTTGCAGTGCAGGCTTAGCTCAAATGACCGAGACATCCACAAAATAATGGCAACAAAGAGATATTAGGCAATATAGGTTGTGTAGAACTTAGTTCTTCAAGCAATTCAGTCACCTGGATATCCTGTGGCAATTTCTGTTCCGTCAATTTTACAAACTGCAAAAAGAAATCTCAAAACCTACTTTTTCCATCTTCGACAACAATAACTGTTAGTGTGCAAGATGAAATTTCCAACTAAAAGCTACTCCAAAATCGACTATGAAAAGTAGTAAGATATTTGATTTGGGAATTTAACACAGCAGTCTGTAACCTGGGTTTTTCACAACTTCCTGTGGGACAGCTTAATTATTTCATTCCAGGTGGCATGAGGAATCAACCAGTGAGAGCAAAGCAAATTCATCTGATCAATGAAGCAGGATTACCGGTTACTCACCTGCCAAAAAGAAAGGGTGTCTGGAAAAAAACAAATCTAAAGAAGGGGTCCGAGGGCTGCTCCAGAGTTCTCTCTATTAGCTCATCTTTCATAACTTCTACAAAACATATTGATCAGAGTGCACCTTCTGCAATATTCTTCTTCACACAGTGCACAGTCAACCTGTGGAACTCCTTGCCTGAGGAGGTTGTGAAGGCTAGGACTATAACAGGGGTTAAAAGAGAACTAGATAAATTCATGGAGGTTAAGTCCATTAATAGCTATTAGCCAGGATGCGTAAGGAAAGGCATCCCTGGCCTCTGTTAGTCAGAGGGTGGAGATGGATGGCAGGAGAGAAATTGCTTGATCATTAGCTGTTTGATTCACTCCATCTGGGACACCTGGCATTGCCCACTGTTGGCAGACAGGGAACTGGGCTGTACAGACCTTTGGTCTGACTCAGCCGTTCTTATGTTCTTATGTAATATCACTTTGAGCAACTTTCAATAAATGTCTAACATCAAAGGTGTCTAGACTCAAAGTTTTCACCCATTTATCTTCTTTCATTCTTGCTTGTCTCTCCTCTCCTCCCATTCCAATAAGCAGAAACTGCCACCCAGATTTTCACCTTGCCCCTGAAAGCCTGCTTTCTAATTCACTGACAGTATTCAGTGTTGCCTTACCTTCATTCATAGTGCGTGCATGCACATGCTAGGATTGCAATTTGCTTACTCACATTCTAGCGTGCGCACCCCTCGAATTCTAGGCCACACGGTTTAGTTCTCAATACTTTCCCCGTCCTGCAGTTTTATAGTCAAAGACACCAGCTGAAAACGTTCTGCCGAGGAATGCAACCACTTTCTCACGAAGCTCTTTGGTGTTGACCCCATACACGATAGGGTTGAGCATGGGGGGGATGATGTAATGGAGGTTGGATGAGATGATGTGTACATAGGGTGTGATGCCCTGACCGAATCGGTGCGCCAGAGAGGAGAAGAGGCCAGCAGGATAAGCCATGAGTATCACAAGGATGTGGGCGGTGCATGTGCTGAGGGCTTTCTGGTTGGCTTTCTTGGAGGAGAGTCTAAGGAGAGCCCTGAGGATCAGCGCGTAGGACAATGCAATGACCGTCAGGTCAAACCCAATCATGATACAGGCCAACATCAAGCCATATATTCTGCTGCCTGTGATGTCCCCACAAGACACCTTTGCCACTGCCATGTTGTCACAGTACGTGTGGGCGATAATGTTATTGGAACAGAACGGCAGCCATCTCAGGAGCAGGGGCATGGGCAAAATGAAGAGAACAGCTCTTACCAAACACACTAACCCTAGCTTAGCTGTTCGGGCATTGGTGAGGATGGTGGTGTATCTTAGAGGGTTACATATTGCCACGTAGCGATCAACAGCCATTATGACGAGGACGCCTGAATGCACAGCAGAACTTGCCTGAAAGAAGAAGAGCTGGGTAAGGCAGCCATTCAAAGTGATGCTTTTCAAATTGAACCAAAATATGCACAGGGTCTTGGGCATGAAGGAGGTAGATGTGATGATGTCTGAGAGTGCCAGCATGCAGATCATCAGATACATCGGCTTGTGCAAGCACTGCTCTTTTGCTACAACAGACAGTACCGTGGAATTTGCCAACAAAGCTGTCACGTAGAATGCAGCCAAAGGGATGGAAATCCAGATGTGGGCATCTTCCAGGCCGGGGATGCCCATTAGGATGAATACTGGCATCTCAGAGGTGCTGGAGTTGGCAGCTTCCATGAAGGAGTAGATGCATCAAGGGAGCACAGAAATGCCCAATGTGTCTGTGAGGAGACAGAAAGAAGCACAATGATGGGGGTAACACACTTTATAAAAATAGAAGGCTAAATATTTTATAATTATTGACCTACATTAACAGGTGTGTTGTGAGTAAGACATGAGAAGTCATTCTTCCGCTCTACTCTGCGCTGGTTAGGCCTCAGTTGGAGTATTGTGTCCAGTTTTGGGACCGCATTTCAGGAAAGATGTGGAGAAATTGGAGAGGTCCAGAGAAGAGCAACAAGAATGATTAATGTCTAGAGAACATGACCTATGAAGGAAGGCTGAAAGACTTGGGTTTGTTTAGTTTAGAAAAGAGAAGATTGGGGGGGGGGACATGATAGCCGTTTTCAGGTATCTAAAAGGGTGTCATAAGGGGGAGGGAGAAAATTTGTTCATCTTGGTCTCTGGGGATAGAACAAGAAGCAATGGGCTTAAACTGCAGCAAGGGAGGTTTAGGTTGGATGTTAGGAAAAAGTTCCTAACTGTTGGAGTGGTTAAACACTGGAATAAATTGCCCAGGGTGGTTGTGGAATCTCCATCTGTGGAGATATTTAAGAGTAGGTTAGATAAATGTCTACCAGGGATGCTCTAGACAGTATTTGGTCCTGCCATGAGGGCAGGGGACTGGACTCGATGACCTCTCGAGGTCCCTTCCAGTCCTAGTATTCTATGATTCTATGATTCTTGAATCCAGAAAGGAAGCTAATCACTGGGGTGGCAACATTTACAGATGGTACCAGATTATTTAGACCATCATCAAGAAATTCTAGGAGGGAGTTCATCAAGCTGTGCGAATGAACAGCATGCTGTCTGGGGAATTTCAATATAAACCAAGACATTGACATAAGCCCCCGGGGTTGGTCTTACTGTGGTCTCAATGTGGTTTGTCCCTTGGTGTTTTTATTTTGGCTCCACATTTGTCAAATCCCAGCTTTGGCTCCTGATACACACAGCGCTGTTTGGTCAGAGTGCCAAGGGAGCGTGGGGGAAACTCCCAGCGTATGTGGCATTCTGAGATCAGGAATGAAAAATGGGGCTCTTAAGGCTCGAGGACCCAGATTTTGCTTTCAGGGAGGCAAGCATCTGTTTTGAGTGACCCACGGCAGGCAGACTGGGAGAGCAGAAAGTGGCCAGTGTAAGACCCACACTTGTGAGCCCTCTGGTCACACAGAGACTCACTGCAGCAGCTTTGGCTGCAAATCCTAACAGAGCAGTGAGATTGTTGAAGTGGAAAACTGAGCGAGCCAGAGTAAAAACCATACTCCGCTCCCAAAAGTGACTGAGACCTATGGAAGCACAGAATGAGAGACAAGGGTCTGGTCTTAAAAGCAAATATTTCTCCCATCTATTTCCAACACATTGTTCCCTCAGTCTGAGTGGGGCAATCCCTTCATTTTCTGACAACACTAAGGAGTTCAAATCTCTGTCCTGGAAAAGCCCAGCTCGGATTGCTCATGACCGGAGCTGCGGAATCATTCCTGAGCCCTTAGTGCTAATTGTAAAGCAGAAAAAGGCAACTCACCAAAATCCCACTTGGCAGATTTTCTTCCTGCTACAGAGCGGCTGAGCCCTCAAAGTCAGCTTCTGGGTCTCACATGTATGACAGTCACTGGCCTGGACACTCATATTTATCACTCCCCTGCCCAGTCTCGGTGGACTTTCAGGTTGGCAGGATTCCCAGACAACTCTCTTGGCTCTGTGAGCAGCAGGAAGAGAAGAAAATAGACCCTAAAGAACTGCATCTTGAGAGCATCCCCTGGGAGTGAAGCAATGATTGGCTGAGACCAGGTAACCAGTTCTCAGGGGAACCAAAACTGTGCAGAAACTTTGTACATGATTATAATTGCAAGCAAACACGCCGAGTCAGACTACCTGGCACATCAACGAAGCTGACAATGAAGCCTCAGATGCTAGAAAGTTTGGATAGGAAGTAGTAATTCATCCTGCTTGGAGATACCAGCAGTCCAGCAGGTTTCCACTGCCAGACTAGAAAACTTTTCACTCTGGGACCAGTACTTCCTGAGTTCACTATTTGTTCGTCAGGCCTTCCAAGAGTTGGAAAGAGGCCGGTAGATGATATCACATTCCACCTTATATAGCTCTAAATTATATTGAGAATCATTTGTTCAAAAACATTCCCCTGTCCATTTTATGGAGAAATACAGGTACCCAAGTGGAGTTCAGTGGTCACATGCTCTTGCTGCCACTTAGTCATAGCAGCCATTATCTATAGGCTGTCTGGCACACTGAACATAAGGACAGACATTAGGGACCATTTACCCAATATCCCATTTTCCAATAATGGCCAATGCTAGATTATCTAAAAGGAATGAACAGAACAGGAATCATGAAGTGATCCATCTGCTGTCTCCCATTCCCTGCTTCTGACACACAGAGATGAGGGACACCATTCCTACCTATCCAGGCTACTAGCTACTGATGGACCTAACCTCCATGGATGTATCTGGTTCTTTCTTGAACCCTGTTCAAGTCCTGGTCTTCACAACCTCCTCTGGCATTTGTTTGTTTTATACCTGCCAACTTTTAATTTCATTTGGTGACCCCTAGTTCTTGTGTTATGGGATCAAGTAAATAACGTTTCCTGATTTACTTTCTCCACACACATCATGATTTTATAGACCTCCATCATATCCTCCTTAGGGTATGTCTCCACTACGAGATAAGGCCGAAGCTACTATGGTCGATTTCTGACACCCGATTTGAAGCCATCAGACATCCATGTTCTCACAATGGGGAAAAATCGAATGTTGCCCGAAGTAGTGCATCAAAGCCTACCTTCAACTCACAAAGCGAGGCACTATGGGTAGCTTTGCAGTCTGGGTCATGCTTCTCATGCCGCTGGGTCCAAAATTCTGCTGCGGCTGGTGAGAGAGTCTAATGTTGACTGTGTCCCATAAGGCACTCCTCTAGTCCCTTCCCCCTAGCATGAGATAAAGGGGAGGCAGTGTGCTTGTGTCTTTTTGTGCCCTGGTTGCCTGCGCGCATGCCAGAGCACTGCGAGCGTGGAGCCTAGTTTGCTAGAAAGCATCATTCTGCTTATGGGTGTAGTGGTGCGCCCCCTTGGCACAATGCTTTGGGAATGTATGCATGTTGCTCCACCAAGAAGAGGACAAGGAAGGACTTCAGCATGGTATGGAGACCCCAGCTCTAGCAAGGCCTGGCGCTCATGTTAGTGCACCCTCTAGGCCGTCCTCTGCACGCAGTGGATAGAGGACAAGGAAGGACTTCAGCATGGTATGGAGACCCCAGCTCTAGCAAGGCCTGGCGCAGTGGAATGCCAGTTCTGGGACCACGAGATGAGTTCAGACAGATGGGAACACGTTGTATTGCAGAGCTGGGATGATCCGCTCTGGTGGCTCAAGGAAGCCCTACATGGGCAGCTTGAACCCCAGCAAGGAGGAGTTCAATAACAGGCTGAGCAGCTGCAGAATGGTGGTGGGATGTGTTTGGACGTTTAAAGGGGAGGTTCAGGAATTTCCTGACCCACTTGGACCTCAGCAAATGCAACAGTACCTTCATGGTGGTGGCCTGTTGCAAGAACAAGGGTGAAACTTTCCTGGCAGAGTAGGGGGCTGAAGCAAAGTACCTCGCCCAAGAGTTTGAGCAGCTGGACACTCCTGCCATGAGGAGAGCACAGCAAGGGGCAGTGTAACTCAGAGACATCTTGAAGGATAGTTCTATGCAAGGCTTTCTTGAGGGACAGTTTTATGTAAGGCCTCTTTTGAGACTCTTCCCCATCGCTCTCCATAAGTTCCCCCTCATGTTTCCCGTTAATCCTCCACTCTACCCCTGCCGTTCAACCGATAAAGAGCACATTTTTCAGTGAACAGAAAAACATAAGAACAGCCATACCAGGTCAGACCTAAGGTCCATCTAGCCCAGCGTCCAGTCTTCTGACAGTAGCCGATGCCAGATGCCCCAGAGGGAGGGGGAACAGAAACTTACCAGGTCAGACCTAAGGTCCATCTAGCCCAGCGTCCAGTCTTCTGACAGTAGCCGATGCCAGATGCCCCAGAGGGAGGGGGAACAGAAACTGTGAATCATCAAGTGATCCCTCCCCTGTCATCCATTTCCAGCCCCTGACAAATAGAGGCTAGGGACCCCATTCCTACATATTCTGCTTAGTAAATATAGATGGACCTAACCTTCGTGAATGTATCTAACTCTTTTTTTAACTTCCTTTGTTTGTTTTAAACCTCTATAGATTGTACCTCTCCTAGCCAGGACTCTGAGTTCTTGGACCACAGATCCCAGGTATAGGGAGGTTGGGTTCTGGGGCATGAGCAGCGGGGATCCGCAAACTGAACTGGGAGCCCAGGGGCGGGGAGCTTGGGGGAAGTATGGGGGGGAGGAGAAGATGGCTGTAGCCCCAGAGCTCCAGCCGTGGTGGCTGCCATGGAGTTCCAGCCTGGGGAGCCACAGTTGGCAGGCAGCAGCGGGACCAGGCCGCTGCTCTAGATAGGGCAGCAGGGCAGCGTGGGCCATGTTGGGAAAGGCCTCCCTTAGGCCGGCAAATCACCTTGTTTGGCTTTGGCTCACCTTGAGTTCCCCTCCACTATGTCCTGGGACATGGCCCTTAGCCCTTTCTCCTCACTCCAGCAGCTGATCTGGGAGGGAAGAAGTGCCTCTCCCATTGCTCCTCAAATCTCTTTGGCTGCAGCAGCTCTAGGGCAGGGACACAGGTGCTGGTGGGGTCTTGATCCCTCAACCTCTGGCTCTGGGTACCTTACCTACTGCACCACTGGATGAGCCCCCCAACATTCTGCACCCCCTTAATTCTTCCTTTGTCCCAAGGGAGCCAGGGTTGGCTGCCCCTGGGGCCCTGGTGGTGGAAACCAAGAGTCTGGTGTCATGGGGGCAGGTGGGGTTCTGGGTTGTGGCCCATTGCAGGCAGGCCACTACACATTCCATCACAGTGGTCAGGGTGGAGAACATGG